CAGTTGATGCATATAAGAATGCTCCCAGGGGCTGCCATCATAGACCCAATAGCCCATGACTCTGTGATGTGTAGTCCTTCCCTTTGGATATCCCCATCCGCCACCCTCTTTTCTTTAAATAAAACCAATTTTTTCTTTATCCACTGTTTGAGGTTGCTATTTAGCATGCCTGGCACCTCGAACCACCAACTTTCACCTTTCACTCAATAGCCACATGTGACTATTGCCTATTGTATTGGCCTGCACATAAATAAGACATGTCCATCATCAATAAAAAAATACCAGTGTACAATATTGAACTAGAAGAATATTTTTACAGTACTAGGTATGCTTTCTGAACAAAATTAAAGTTAAAATCAGCACAATAATTTTCTTTCTTGTAACCAGTGATACTTTTTAAAAATCCTGCTCCAGAATTCTGAATTAGTTTTAGTTTATATTTTATTAGGTTTTCTCAAATTTATTTTTTTTAATTAATTTTTTTTGTTTTGTTTTTTTAATATATTTTATTGATTTTTTTTTTTTTTTTTTTAGAGAGAAAGAGGAAGGGAGAGAGAGAGAGAGAGAAACATCTATGTGAGAGAGAAACATTGATCGGCTGCCTCCTGCACGCCCCCCACTGGGGATCGAGCCCACTACCCGGGCATGTGGCCTGACCAGGAATCCAATAGGGACCTCTCACTCCATGGGATGATGCTCAATCCACTTAGCCACACCAGCTGGGCATGTTATTTTTTTAAATTACAGTTTACATTCACTATTATTTTGTATTCATCTCAAGTGTACAACACAGTCGTTAGACAATCATATAATTTATGAAGTTTTTTTCCTGGTATTTCCAGTACCCATTTGGCACCATACATAGTTATTACAATATTATTGATTATATTTCTTAAACCAGTATTTTTCTCAATAGAAAACAAGGAAACATTTCTGTAATATTTAATAATTTCCTCAAATCTCAGGAATAAAAGGTTTGTTTATATCTCAATGTAGTTTAAAAACTATATGTGAATACCATCTTTGCATTTTCTCATTAAAGTGTACATTTTTATCTCTCTGTAATTCTCTCTACAAATGTAATTTAAGGCAGAAAATTCCATTTATGTTCTTCCAGATGCATAGAGCTACAATTCCAAACCAGGACAATGACAACCTTAGGACTGCAAAAAATAATATTTAAAATTTTTCCATTACAATTTCTATATATATTTTAAGTACTTACATGCAATAGGTGGCTATTGAACAAATGAAGAGGAGGAAGAGGATGGAAAAACATTAAAGCAAACAAATGTGGACCAGAGATGTTCACAACAATAGAGTTCTATAATTCTATAAACACAAAAGAACCAAAGTACATTTTATTCTACCCATTCATTTTGAGATAAGCACTGGATCTCTAGATTAATATTTCCCTTGTTTAAAGTTGTTCTTTATATAAATGCTTTGTTCAAAAGACAAAAAAAAAAAGAGAGAGAGAGAGAGAGAGAGAATTCTGAATTCTGTCCTTGATATTGAAAAACAACATCACATTCTCTCAAGGAAATAAGTTATCTTTCCCATTCGAAAGATCTCAATATAATGATCCTCAATAATGAAAGAAAACTGCATTGTATATTGAACTAAACATAAATATATTATCAAGCTCTCTAACCAGACATAATAGAAAGTATACAATTTACCGGCTGCTCTTATTTTATTTACTCGGGATTTTTATAATTGAGAAGCAATTTCTGTATGTCTCAGTTTCAACTGGCCTCAATCATAACTTCCAGTTTAATTCATTCATAGATGATTGCCTATTGACTTCCATTCCTGTATTTTCTATTTGGTTAATTTGAAGAGAAGAGAAAGATGCTTGTTATCTTTTGACATACTACTATTTATTAAATTGAAAAGTAAATAAATAACAATATCATCTTCAGGGTAGTAGTCTATGATATTAAAATCTAATAATAATATTAAAGTCATATTATAGGTGCTCCATGTAGTAAAAACCTGCAATGAAAATAATGTAGTAGTAATGCATTCTTTACTTTAATATAGTAATAATGGTGTCTAGTTAAATAAAATATGCATTAAAATAAACATTTTAGCTATAAACTTTTAAGAGTTTCAAATATTATTAGAAGCAAATGAAATAAATTTCAAGAGAGCTTATATTGTAAAGCATAAGGCTGTGAGTTTAATTGGACTTCATAGATGTATACCTTTGGTCTCTCCTTAGGACTACTAGTAGAAATTAGTAATTAATGGATAACCCTAAACAAAGTTCATCAAAAACTCAGAGGCCTTGTTACAACTACAGCAAGGACTAGTGAAATCCTATGTCCTGATCTACTTGTGTGATCAGTAGTATAGGAATCACGTACCTCGGTATACAGGGAAAGGTCAAATATTTGCTGTAACCAAACTCATAGTGGTTCCAGGTAAAATGAGGTAAACACATACCACCCTTTCTCTTTCAAACAAACAAACAAAAATGACATCTGGACAGAATGCATGATGTAGCCATTTGAGAATTCTAAAATGTACACAATAGGGCTATAGAAGAAGAACATTAGAATTCAAAGTACCACTGACCCAGGAAGAGAGTTTGAAAAATGTTCCCTCTAGCATGTCCTAGCTTAAAGTCACTATAGTCTGAAACATAGAAATGGGCTCTGGTACAGACACAGAGGGAAAGAGGAGAAGTCCTCAAGTTCTGGCTCAAGGAGCAGGAAAGGGAACACCTATCATTCCAATTGTGAAAATCCTCAAAAAAAAAAAAATCATTTTTTGTTTTTCTTTTTTTTCCTTTCTCTGATCCCTCATGCTCTAGCTCTCTAAAAATTTGTAGTGTACAATCAAGAGAATAGGAATTTACCCTTCTGATCAGAGGAGGTCTGAAACCAAGCAGATCATGCCACCCAAAAGCTATTTTTTTTCTCTCTGACTTTCCACCACTTAAACTCAACACAGGCAAAGGACTGGGAGAGCACAATATACTGGGATAAGTAAGCCCCACGTACCTATCCAAAGGTCTGAAAAGAAGAGGCCCAGAGAATTAGAAATCATAGGAGGGCTCAGAAAGACAGAAGCACTTGAGACAGTGACCTTATAAAGTTGTTTATGCAATCCTGGTACCAATCCTAAATGGTGCACACATGGTTATGATCGCAATCTGCATACTAAAGATTTTGAGAACTAAATTAAACTACACTAAACCACTACCAAGCACCAGAATGTCCTAGGTAGTGCACTGAAAGGATTGGTCTAAAAATCACTGCAAAGTCTTTGATAATCGTGATTACATTCAAAGCACAACATGTAAAATGTGGATAAGAAATTATGGTCAGAACATAAATAGACTCATTCCTTGAAGAAGCAAAAACATCAATGTTCTAAACAAGTAACATTCTTCATAGCCTTCAAAGAAGACCTGTAGTCTCCTAACATAATATTTGAAATATACAGAATACAATAAAAAATTATTAGATACACAAAGAACCAGCAAAGACTGACTGAACTCTCAGGGGGGAAAAATCAACAAGAGAGGTGACTACCACATGGTGACATTAGGAGCTCTGCAGCACTAGTCCCTGGAGGGGGCAAATGTAATTGATGAGAATCATTTAAAATTAAAAATTTAAAGTCTCTAGAACTAGTCAATGAAATACAGCAAACAACAATAAAAAAAATAACAAAAAAATATGCTAAACCCCAATAATAATAGTAAGAATCTGTGAAAATTGAGCCAGGAAACACTATCTCCCTCTTTCCTACTTCAATTTATTAAGAGGCAAGCTCCATTGTGAGCAGATGTGACCAAAAACACAGTGTTCTCTCATCCTGCAGATCTCAATTTAGAGCTACAATATCTCCGAGGAGAGATAAGACAGTTCTCATCCAACCCAGTTTCATGTCGCAAAAGCTCTATTCTAGGCAAGAGTGATACAGTGTTCTGGGGCTCTTTTCTTCTACCTAGCCTTAACTCATAAGGCAGAAGTTTTAACATAGATACAATGACGTAAGAATAGTGGGGCCCAAATCACTGTGATCCAAGCTCATTCAAAAGATAGAAGTTCCATCCTGGGAAGGGCCAACAAGGGCAGAAGCTACTGCCCTGTGAACCTGGGATGTCGTTCTGAGAGAAGTGAGCCACTTCCCTGCTCTTAACTCTAGTGCTATGGTGTAGAGTTATTTTTGTCCGTTTGTTTGTTTTTCTAAGAGAGAAAGTTTGTTCATAATAACAGAAAACTAAGAAATGCTCCCCAAGGGAATTGACTTTATTTGGAAGAGTTTTGAAAAGTTTAAATTTAAGGGTGCTGTTGAATATAATGGACATTTTAGATGTAGGCAATAATCAGAAGGTTAGTAATTCCATGACAGCAACCAACTAAACCACAGGCCAACAAATTAACCAAGGAAAATAATGAAAAAAAGACAATTAAGAAGATCCCTCCTGGGGTCAGAACAAATCTCAAAGACTAGCCAATAAAAACAACCCCTACAAAGAGGCCAGACTATAATTGAATCAGACAACATAGCATTTATGACCCAATGTATTATAAAAAATAAGAAAACTATCAGGTGAATGTGACTCCGGGGCTAAGGGAAGTATGTGATATCCAGAAGCAAGCAGTTTGACAAAGATATCACAGAAAGTGACAGTCAAAGAGAATTATGCTAAAACTTTGTCATCCCATGGTGATTAAATTTATGCTTAAGTGTATGTCCTCTGATGAGGGACAAAAGAGACATTTTAAAAATGCTACTAGGTTCATGGCTGTTTATGCTCAGTGGTTAGAGTATTGACTCCCAGACCAAAGGGTCACAGGTTTGATCCCCAGTCTAAGAGCATGTACCTGGGTTGTAGGTTTGATTACTGGCGCCGGTCGGGGCCCTGCAGGAGATAACCAATTGATGTGTCTCTTTTACATCGATGTTTCTCCCTTTCTCTCTCTCTTTCCCTCTCTCCTTTCTACTCTATCTAAAAATCAATGAAAAAAAATATCCTTGTGCTTACTTCGGCAGCACATATACTAAAATTGGAATGATACAGGGAAGATTAGCATGGCCCCTGCACAAGGATGACACGCAAGTTCGTGAAGCATTCCATATTTTTTCATATGATCGTATCAATAGATGCTGAAAAAGCCTTCGACGAAATCCAGCACCCATTTATGATAAAAATGCTCAGCAATCTGGGAATAGAGGGATCATAACTGGACACAATAATGGCCATATATGAAAGACCTACAGCCAACATCATACTAAATGGGCAAAAAGTAGAAGCTTTTCCCTTAAGAACAGGAACAAGACAAGGATACCCACTTTCACCACTCTTATTTAACATAGTACTGGAAGTCTTAGCCACAGCAATCAGACAGGAAGAAAAAATAAAAGGGATCCAAATTGGAAAGGAGGAAGTGAAACTGTCATTATTCACAGATGAAATGATGCTATACGTAGAAAACCCCAAACAATCAAAAATCTACTAGACTTGAATGAATTTGGCCAAGTAGCATGATACAAAATTAATGTCAAGAAATTGACGGCATTCTTATGCACCAATGATGAAGTCATAGAAAAAGAAACTAAAAAAACAATCCCATTTGCCATTGTGGCAAAAAAAAAAAAAAAAAAAAAAAAAAAAATTAAGATACCTAGGAATAAATTTAACCAAAGAAATAAAGGACCTATTTCAGAAAACTACAAGACATTGAAAAAAGAAATGGAGGAAGATATAAAAATGTGGAAGCACATACCTTGTTCATGGATTGAAAGAATTAGCATCATTAAAATGTCCTTATGACCCAAAGCAATCTATAGATTCAATGGAATCCTCATCAAAATACCAACGACATATTTCACAGAACTAGAACAAATACTTCAAAACTTCATATGGAACCAAAAAAGACCTCGAATAGCCACAGCAATCTTGAAAAAGAAGAACAAATTTGGAAGGATCACATTATCAGATTTCAGGTTATACTACAAAGCCACTGTAATCAAAAAAGCTTGGTACTGGCACAAGAACAGGCAGATAGACCAGTGGAACAGAATAGAGAACCCAGAAATGGACCCAAGACAATATGCACAATTAATATTTGACAAAGGGGCAAGAGCACACAGAGGAGTAAAGACAGCCTCCTTAATTAATGGTGTTGGGAAAATTAGACAGCTACATGCCAAAAAATGAAGCTAGACCATCAACTTACACCATACACATGAATAAACTCAAAATGGGTAAATGACTTAAATGTGACTCATGAATCCATAAAAATCCTAGAAGAAAATGTAGGCAACAAAATTTCAGACATCATACACAGCAGAATTTTCACTGATACATCAACTAAAGCAATAGAAACAAAGGAGAAAATAAACACATGGGACTACATCAAATTAAAAACCTTCTGCACAGCAAAAGATACAATCATCAAATTGGAAAGGTAACGCACTGTATGGGAGAGCATAATTGCCAATGATATTTCAGATGAGGGGTTAATTTCCAATATATACAAAGTGCTCATATGACTCAACAAAAGAAAGACAAAGAACCCAATTAAAAATGGCCAGAGGGACTAAATAGACACCTCTCTAAGCAGGACATACAAATGGCTAAGAGACATATGAAGAAATGCTCAACATCACTAATCATCAGAGATGCAAATTAAAACAATGAGGTATCACCTCACACCTGTCAGAATGGCCGCCATCAATGAATCATCAAACAACAAGTGTTGGTGAGGGTGTGGAGAAAACAGACTCTACTACACTGCTGGTGGGAATGCAGACTGGTGCAACCACTATGGAAAACAATATGGTGTTACCTCAAAAAATTAAAAATTGAACTTCTATTTGACCCAGTGATTTCACTTCTAGGAATATACCCTAAGAAGCCTGAAAGACCAATCAGAAAGAATATATGTACCCCCATGTTTGTTGCAGCACTATTTACAATAGCTAAGATCTGAAAACAGCCCAAATGTCCTTCAGTAGACAAATGGATAAAAAAGCAGTGGTACCTATACACAATGGAGTACTATGCAGCTGTAAGAAAGAGAGATCTCTTATCCTTTGAGACGACATGGAGGGACCTGGAATGTATTATCCTAAACAAAACAAGCCAAACAGAGAAAGACAAGTATCATATGATCTCACTTATTTTTGGAATGTAATGAACATAACAGTCTGAGGAACGGGGTAGTCCCAGAGATGTAGATGTGGGGTACAGACTGACAATCCCCAGAAGAGGGGGTTGTGGGGAAGAGATAAACCACAGAACTTATATGCAGGTATGCATGAACAATGGACATGGACAACAAAGCTGGAGACACAGCGGGGAGGGAGAGGGAGGGGGGAATCAGTGGGGTGAAAAGGAGAAACATCTGAAACAAAAATAAATTTATTAATTAAAAAAAAAATTAATATCCTTGCATAAGGAGTAACAACAAAAAATGTTACTGGCAATAGTGAATGACATTTTTAAATAATAATGGTGAATATAGGAGGAAGATATGACTACAAATATATATACACTTACAAATAGAGCCCTAAAATGCATGATTCAAAGCCTTAAGTAATGACAAAAAAAAAAAAAAAAATAGGCAACTCAAATGATATTTGAATACAGTTGACCTTTAAACAATGGGAGTTGGGGCACTAATCCCTACACAGTCAAAAAATCCTTGCATAACTTTGGATTCTTCAAAAACTTAACCACACTTGTTCCTTAGTTTTCACGGGGAGAATTGGTTTTAGGTCCTCTGCAGATACCAAAATCCACAGATGCTCAAGTCTCACATATAATGGCAGAAAACACATACTGTCAGCCTTCTGAATCCATGGATTTCCAACCATGGATCGGAAATTTAGATTTACAGTTTGTTGAATCCATGGATGTGAACCCCAGGTATACAGAGAACCAACTGAATATTTATTATAAACAATCCATGTATAAATAGACCCATACAGTTCAAACACATGTTGTTCAAAGGTCATCTGTAATCATATTTAATAGTCCACTTCCAATGACAAAACAACTGGGCAGAAAGTTAACAAGGAAATATAAGATTTGAACAGCGCTATAAAGCAGGAAGACCTAAGAGACAGCTATTGAATACAATACCCAAAGTTAGCAGAAAACATTCTTTGCAATTACACGTAACATTCTCCAAGACAGGTCATCTACTTGGCAATAAAACAAACATCAACAAATTTAAAATAATTGAAAATATACAAAGTATATTCTCTGACCACCATATAAATTCTAAATTAATAAAATGAAGAAATTTGGGTGATTTAGAAATATGAGGAAACAAAAAACATGTTCCTAAATTATCAAAGTGAAAGACAAGATCACAACTGAAACTGAAAATCAAGATTTCCTTTTGGATCCATCATAGTATTGATGCCACAGGGTGAAACTTTAACCTCAAAATTGTAAAGACAGTTGAATATATAGAATCACAACTTATGAGAACAGAGGTCTAAGAAAAGAAGTTTACTATTGGAGCCAATACTAAAATACAAATCTTAAACTGTAAATGACAAATTGTCAAAGGGGCAGTGTAGACAAGCTTGAGAGTTAAAAACTCTAGTGAGGGCCATTCACTCAGGAGTTTTACCTCCAAGAGACCTACCAGGTTTTCATAGTGAAGGTCAGAGAAAATTTTCTTAGTGTTTTGGCAGGGGAAGGGGAAAAGTAGCCATTTTGAAATATGCCCAGAGCATTCTGTTTTTCTAGAAATGTACTCAGGGAAAAAATATTACCAGAGCCTAACTGATTTTACCAGAAACTAACTATATTAAACTCTAGTCACCCATAAAAAGTTCCATGTCTAGAAAACATTTAAGAAGTAGTCTCTAGGGAAATCCAAGGCCCACAGGGGAGACAAAGAAAATAGAGACAATTTTAGCTTCTGACACCTATAGCAATCATAAACATTAAACACAATCTAACATCTAGTCAAATAAATATAAAACTTCACACTAAAAGATCTATTTACCTAAGTTTTTTTTATTCAGTACATCTAGTCCAGATTCAAACAAAAAGTTGCAAGGCATAGAAAAAGACAAAAAAGAACAACAACAACAAAAAAACCTCACAGTTTAAAAAGACAGCAACCATCAGAACCAGATTCAGATATAGAACAGAATTTGGAATTATCAAACTGAGAATGAAAAATAACTAAATAATATGCTAAGGAAAGTAACAGCAAAAGTAGAAAACATAAAAGAAAAGGTGACTAATATATGCAGAAAGATGGTAGCTCTAAGAAATATACAAAATGAAATGCTAGAAACTAATTAAAAACTATAACAAAAATGATGAATGCTTTTGATATGATCATCTGTTAATAGACATGATCTAAAAATCAGTGAGCATGAAGAGAGGACAATATGAACTTTGCATTCTTAACCTCAAAGATAAAAAAATAATGAAAAAAAATGCAACAGAATATCCAAGCACTGTGGGGAAATTACAAAAGGTACAGCATATGTATAATGGGAATATCAAAAGAAAAAAGAAAGACAGAAAGAAAAAATATATTTGAATAGTGAAATGGTATTGCAGATACCAAACTACAGACCCAGGAACTCATAAAACAAGTAAGCAAGGAGAATATATTCATATTTTTCCCTTTTTCTACCACAGCTTGGCACAATATATTCAAACTGCAGAAAATCAAAAACAAAGAGAAAATTATGAAAGAAGCAAGCAGAGAGAAAACCATACCTATAGAGAATCAAGGACAAGATTTACAAGTCTTCTCTAAAAACACCATGAAAGTGAGAAGAGTGGAGTGCAATATTTAAAGTGATGAAAGAAAAAATAAACACCAATCCACAATTCTTTACTCAGTGACACTTTTATTCAAGGTAAAAAAGAAATTATTTATGTCATATGTCAAAAAAGATTTTGTCATATAAACAAAAACTGAGAAAAAATGTTTACCAGCAGACTAGCCAAGCAAAAGAATGTTAGAAGGAATTCTTCAGAAAGGAAAATTATATAGGTCTGAAATTTGGATTTGTATAAAGAAAAAAGGATTAGACAAGGAATAAATGAAGGTAAAATGAAATATTTTATTTTCCTTATTCTTAACTGATTTAACAGTT